TCTAGTCGTATCAGATAATTAATAATTACAATTTGTCAATCAACTCTTAATTACTAAATATATACCACGCATCTGCAAATGTGCTTTAACCCAAGCGGCTCTCATGTACAATTCTCCAATTATATTTTCCCCATATCTTCAGGTTTTAGTAAATTATTTAAGGCGGTTTGGTCCGATCTTACGTTGGAACGGGTGGGCAATACCGCATGTAAAATGGCAGGCAATCCCTGCCATTCGAAAAATACGGTATTCAAAGGCAAAATTGGTAGAAAAACATGGCGTATAATAACTACTGAGCAAAGCCGATGCTGATGCACTCGTCAAAAGTGAGATAAATCGAATTTACAATTTTATTTAAATTCCGCTCTTCAATTACTCATTTATCCCGCAAACTATCAATTTAAAAAAAAAACCTCATAACACTTTTCTCCAGCTATTCAAATTGCCGATAAAAAAACTCTTTTGACTTTTCTTCCTCAAATCAATAGTTTTCGAGATAAATAAATATTTACGAACCTAAAATTATCTCACCCCACCTTTTTCTAACAGAATGATTTTTACAAATTCATCGGTTGATGGTCACGTGTGCAGATTAATAAATCCTCAATAGTAAAACGGATTTCTCGATCGAGATAAATAATCTCTACCATGTATCAATGATTTCTATTCAATTCTCAACGCGGGGGGAAAAATTCATTACGAGCTATAAATAATTCTCGTCTTATCATGAGAACTGTTCCATCTACCAGGAGATATTATTAACGATGAGGGGCATTACATTGGAAGACAGAACCCCGAAGAAGATGCCGGTGATGAGGGCAGCAGCAGCGAACATTCCTGCTGTCGATGAGTGACGTGGATCCACTTCCCTGGAAGTATAAATAACCATGAGTAATATTTATTTTTTGACTTATCGAGTGATGCAATGAGGGATTGAACTCACGTGGGGCAATACATCATTCCGAGAGAGGAGAAGTATCCACTGCTGAGACCCATGATGATCCCAATTGCCAGGTAGATCCAGTCATTGTCTATCAGCACAGGCAAAGCCCTCACAGAGAGATCATCACCAACGTGGTAATTGCAGAGTAAAAACAGAGGAATAAATAATGCCCTCAGAACCACTGGGATGATGAGGAATCGCTTGCTCGGCTGCAACAATAATTCATCAATTTTTAAGAACTCTAATAAGCATATGGGATTATTTTTTTATTTTGTCGAAACTCTTGGCCCTATCTTTCATCAATTCATCATTTTCTCTTTATTTTTTGCTTTTGAACGGAAATATTTATCGTAATTGTTTGTTAATTTAACTTTTGAATTTTTGGAAAAATAGATTACTTTTTCAAACTAATATATTCATGAAATTATATTGTTTTTT